GATTTCAAGGAGGGTTCCCCTGACGCACTGCCCTTACCTGGCGCTTTGCATGAGAACTCAGGAGTCTGAGCTTTCTTTGGATGAGGGGTAGATCCCTCCATCCTAGTGATGTGAATTAAAGATCTTTCGTCCTCCCGTAAAGAGGTCCCCCAGCCTAGAACTTCGGGTTTTCCTTAAGTGCCCAGGAAGGAGTGGGTACACGTGGAGCTGTAACTAGCCATTTATTCCTGCACGTGAATGGGCCTGTGCAGCCCGCGCCTGAGAACAGGACCACACAGCAGGAAGTGAGGTGAGAACCTCTGGGCACTGAGGGGTGGTGAAACGCAGACTGGAAAGCTGAGAGAACGGTGAGGGCGAGCTCTTGCTGTGGCGGTTTGGAGTAGCGCCTGTCCAGAACCATCAGCAGGTGAGAACGGCCGTTCCCCCATCTGAAGATTGGCAGCCCTTTTTCTTTTCTAATTGATGCGGTCACCAAAGATCAGATGCCCACAGGGATGCCAACAGAAGCTTGCCGGGCCTCTTTCTAATAATGCTACCTATATATACACTCCTGCCAGCTTATGGAAGCAAGTCTCTACTGCTGGCTGATGTTCTGGGAAATCTGTCAGCTGTCCCTCTCCACGCCCTCCCCCATTGCCTTCCTGGCTTTTGAGCACCCATCTCCCTGTTGTCAAAGCACCTCTAGGAATCCCAACTTCAAACCCTGCGTCTGGTTCCTCTGGGGTTTGGCAGGAAGATTGTCCTGTTTGGTCTTCAGCTCTCTTGCTGCCTTCCTCCTGCAGTCTCTCCAGATCTGTGATCTGAGAGCTCATGACCCTCTCCAGTCCTCTGGACTCTGCTGCACATGGACCCCTGGAACAGCATCCTAACCTAGATTCCACATCCGCCCCTCACAGCCCAATCTTCCCGCCACAGCTGGAGTGATTTTGTTTTTCTTTTTTTCTGACAGCTTCTTGCTCTGTCGTCCAGGCTGGAGGGCAGTGGCACGATCTCAGCTCATTGCAACCTCTGCCTCCTGGACTCAACCGCTGCCTCCTGGACTCACTCAGCTTCCTACCTCAGCCTCCCCAGTAGCTGGGATCACTGAGTGTGCACCACTATCTGGCTAATTTTTGTATTTTTTATAGGGGTGGGGTTTCACTATGTTGCCTAGGCTGGTCTCAAACTCCTGGCCCCAAGAGATTCACCCTCCTTGGCCTCTCAAAGTGCTGGGATTACAGGCATGAGTTACCACACCTGACCCAGAGTAATCTTTTTAAAACCAAAGTCAAAGCATGTCAGCCTCCTGGCTTGAACCTTGTGTTAGTCCATTGTGTTGCTATAAAGAAATACCTGAGACTGGGTAATTGACAAAGAAAAGAGGCTTAATTAGCTCATGTTTCTGCAGGCTGTACAGGAGGCAGCCTGGGGAGGCGTCAGGAAACTTCCAGTCACGGCGGAAGGCACTGGGGGAGCAGGCGAATCACATACTGACAGTGGGGATGAGAATGGGTGGGGAGGTGCCACGCACTTTTGTACAACCAGACCTTGTGTGAATTCACAGCAAGAACTCACTTATCAGCAAGGGGCTAGCACTAAGCCATTCATGAGGGATCTGCCCCCATGATCAAAACACCCCCTACCAGGTCCCACCTCCAACACTGGGGATTACATTTCAACATCAGGTTTGGAGGGAATACACACCCAAACCATAACAAACCTCTTCAGCAGTTTCTACCACACTAGGAGTAAATCCCAAACTCTTCCGTATAACCTAGAAACCCCTGTATCATCTGCCTCCTGCCTTCCCTTCCAGTTCTGTGTAACTTACTTTCCCCTGCTCACCATTCCAGACCTCCTGGCCATTCATAGCAGTACCAAGCTTTTTTCTGCTTCGGGACTTTGCACAGGCTGTGCCTCTGCCCGAAATACTCTCCTGTCCTTCCTCCCAACCTCAACTTTTGCCAAGATTGATTTTTCTCATCCTTCAGGTCCTAGCTTAAATGTCACCTCCCAAGAGAGACCATTTTTGACCACCCAGTCTAAAACAACTTGTAATGACACAATTTGTAATTATTGGGGTGCCTATCTGTTTACTGGCCTCTTTTCTTTTCTTTTTTTTTTTTTTGAGACGGAGTTTCACTCTTGTTACTCAGGCTGGAGTGCAGTGGCGTGATCTCGGCTCACTGCAACCTCCGCCTCCTGGGTTCAAGCAATTCTCCTGCCTCAGCCTCCCGAGCTGGGATTACAGGCAGGTGCCACCACGCCCAGCTAATTTTTGTATTTTTAGTAGAGATGGGGTTTCACCATGTTGACCAGGATGGTCTCGATCTCTTGACCTCGTGATCCACCCGCCTCGGCCTCCCAAAGTGCTGGGATTACAGGCTTGAGCCACCGCGCCCGGCTTTTCTATCCTTTTGTCTGAGTTGTTCATCTTGCATCGGTCAGAGCAGGCTAAGCTATGTGCAGTAACAAACTCACACATCTTAGTATCTTCAAACCATAAGGGCTTATTTCTCAGTCATGCTAAGTGTCCATCACAGGTTGCCAGGGAGCCTGTGCCTATTGTAGGATGCCTGGCTGATGGAGCAGTCACATTTCCTAACATTCTCAGTAGCCATACCAAGGATGAGAGAGCTCTGGAGGGTCTTATATTTGCAATTAACTTCTCCAGCCTAGAAATGATTTATGTGTCATTTCTGCTTACACGTGATTGGTTAGAGCTAGATGATTCCACCCAACTACAGGGCTAGGAAGTTCCCAGTGCCCAGAAGAGAGGAGTAGAAATGTTTGTCAGACAGCACTAAAGAATCCCACAGCAATCAAAAAATACTTTAGAAGGATGGAGTGTCTAGAATGCTCTTTCCATGGCTGCAGGCATGTAGAGCATCCTCACGGAGTCCTGCTGGAGATTTTGTGTTTCTGCTGCTCAAGCCCCTGGTTCTGCCAGGAGTCAGAGTTCTGGCAGCAAAATTCAGCAGAAAAGAGGTCCCCTGAGACCTGGTATGAGCCATCTTAGAGGCAGCCGAGGCTGGTGGCCTCTCAGTGCCCTTCTCCTGTTGGGACACATTTCCCCTGTTGGTGTCCTGTGTGAGACAGCCCTGCCAAAGGGTTCTGCCACTCCTCTCTGAATCTGCCACACAGCTCAGGGTCTGGCATATCCAGAATCTGAACAGATGATCCTGCTGGAAGAGTCCCAGTCGGACTCCTTCGAGTTCTAGGCAGGCAGAGAATGAGTGCAGTATTGCTCAGAAAGCCCAGTGCATCCTGTTACCCATGCAAACGAATGGCACTTCAGCACCCCAAGAAATGTGGGGGAAACCTCCTGCAGCTGCCGTGGGTCCTGGGGGATGGGGGGCAGGTGAGAACGGGAGAATCCTGGCCTGTGACCTGATTTCTGACCCTTTTCCCTCTATTACAATACCCTTTCCACCTGGGTAGGCTGCTGCAGCTGCTCTCCTGTCTACACTTGCATTTGACGAAGGGTACCCCCACAGCAGGCCCTTTCCACCAGGCAGTCACACTTGATACAGATGGGCTTTGGGAGGAAAGGCTGTGCCAGGTTGGTGATCACACACTTGACTGTACATCGTGACCTCTGCTGGCAATCACGATGTAAGCTCACATTTGTGAGGCATTTACCAAGTTCCTAGCACTGTACTGAGAGATCTATGTGGACTCTCGTGTAAATCTTCATACCTACAGGGTAGAGGTGCTGCTTTTGGGCAACTGACGGAATTAAAGCCCACAGAAGTAGCTTCCTAATTAAGTAACTGCAGTCATAAGGTGTAGCCCTCCTTTAATCCTGTGCTTCCAGGCTCCAAACCTGTGCATTTGTTACTCTGTAAGAAAAGGTTTAGGTCTGATTCCTCTTCTAGGTTATAAATACTAGGGAGCTTCCTCTTTGAGAAGCCTCCTACCCCATCTCCTTACTGTACCTAGCACAGTGTCTGCCATATAATTAGCACTCAATGAAAGTTTTAAATGTGAATGAGAAGGGTAAAAACAGAATACTTAAAATAGTAGGCTAGCACTAGGATATTCTTGATTGCATTTTTTTTTTTTTTTTTTTGGTTAAGTTGGTCACTAAGGTAAAGCTTCTGTGCTTTTTCATATTGATGTTGATAGAGGGGCTGGATCTGGTCGTTATACATAGCAATCTAATCATGGCCCAAAGCCTCCAATATAGTACACATGCATCCTAACTTATAATTAACAACAATGAAAGAATTACACTGTGCTAGCAGCCATGGATATCACATTGCACATAGTTCCCTTCTTTAGAGATAAGAGAGGCAGACATTTAAACTGTTAGTTGCGAAGCCTTGTGACGCGCATGAGGTCTGCGTAGGAGGCAGCGGGGCCACAAAACCTGTGGAGGCGGAGGTGCTTAGGGAGGAAAAATCCAAGGAAATGAAGCTCTATCGGATACAAATTACACGTTCCCGAGCTTCGGCGGGAGAAAACCTGTTGGCCAGGAGCTTGCCCACTGCACTTCTGCCTCGAGCCTATGGCTGGGGTGGGATTCTGGCCCTTGCAGGCGGCTTGGATCCGGTCACTGCGATGCACTAAGTAGCTCCGTTACTGCTAATGGTATGTCATCAGAGAAGCTAGTGTTGGCGGCAGGTGGAGTCCCGCCCCAGGACCCCCTGGCGGCGTCCCCAACGCTGCGCTCAAGCACACTTCGCCACCTCATAATTTTCTTCGGTTTCTGTATGATCAGGTCTGTCCTTCGCTTTTGCTTTCCATTACTTCGTCCTGGCCCCGGCCTGAGTCCCACAACTGGCACCCCACCTAGCCCGCCCGCACCCGCCCTGGGGGGCAGCCCCGCAGCCCCGCCACACCTGCAGGGTGGCGAGCCGCGCGTCTGCCGCGGAAAGAAGGAAATGGAGGGGGGCGGGGCAGGCGCGCCGGGCCCGCTCCTTCTGCGTAGGGCTGCTTCTCATTGGAGAAACCTCTTCCCTGGCCGTCCGCGGCTTGGAAGATTCGCCGTGGATTGGCTGGAAGCCCCTCGATGGGCGTGGCTTCCGAGGAGAGGGCGAGAACTGAAGCGAGGGCGCGCGCTCGAGAGGAGGGGTTGCCTAGGCGACGCCGGGGGCGCGCTCGGGGGGTGGGGAAGCGAGCCGGGAGGCTCAATGACAAATCGGCGGAGGACTGCTGGGGTCCGGCCCCGGGAGGGGGCGGGGCGCGTTTAAGAGCGGCGGGCCGGGTGCGGACGGCGGAGGCGACGGGACGGGTCCCTGGTAAGGGCGCGGCGCCCGCGGGCCCCGGGCCGGGTGAGGCGCGGCGGACTGGGGAGTGGGGTGCGCCGCGCGCCCGCAGCCTCCGGCTCCTGCGTCTTCCGTGCCGGGCTGTGGCCGGGCGGCGGCAGGACATGTCGCGTCCCGAGGCTGGCGGAGGGCGACGCCCGGGCAGCGGCCCCGCTCCGCGCCGCTCCCGGGGGCTCCCTGGGGAAGCCTCGGCCTCCCGGGCCGCCCGGGCTGAGGAAGTGGGGGCGGCCTCCGCCTCTCCCTTGTCGCCGCGGTTCCTTCGCTGTCCCGCAGATGGCTCTGCTTCCACTTCCTGCCGCGGGCCTCCGGCCCGGGACTGTCCGCTTCCTCAGTGCCCCGGCTGCGGCTCGGGCAGGGCAGGGCTGGGAAGTGTTGCAAAAACTTGCAGCCCTCGGAACTTGCGCTCGCCGTGAGCGGGGCGGTGTAGCTGAAGGGCTTCGGTTTGCGGGTTTGGTTTTGGTCCTGTCCTGCGGATGAGCACGAGGTTGTTTCTCCGCCAGCCTCTCCCTGTGCCTCCTTTTGGATAGGGGAAGCGCCTGGACGGAGCCTGGACCGGGCATCGCCGCCCCGGTTCTCGCCGCCTGTGGGGGTGTGAGGTTATCCGCCCTCGGCGCAGGGCTGCGGGGCGCGGAGCTCGCTGCGTCCACACTGCTCTGCGTGCTCATTTCCAACGAGAAACGTTGGAACTTTGGTGTTCTTATCAGGCGAGTCCTCTGGAGAGAAGTGCTTGTGCCTGGCGGACTGAGTGAAGTGGTGGTGGAAGAAGAGACTTGGCTGATTGCTCGTCTGGGTTGCCTGTGACTGGTCTTCAGCCCTCGTACAACAGTGCACCTTCTGCTCTGTCCTGGTTTCCTAACCTTTCTTCTGAAGTTTTGGGGATGGATGGTAGACACGGAGTATCAAGAGAGGGTAGTGAATCTTTTAGAGGTGTCCATGACCGATGTTCTCAGCAGAGCCGTAGGATTCTTGGATGTCAAAGCTCAGAACAGATCAAGGCTCAGAATGTTGCTTAAAGCTGGAGCAATGGAAGCACAGTATCGAAAGTTCCCAGAAATGGGGCGACCATGAAAGGTAGCGCTGCATGTTGGGAAAAACAGGAGGGGTGAGTTTGAAGACCTAGGTTTGATGCAGGTTCTGAGAGCTTCCCAGTGTTGTGAAGTGGAGCACGGTCTTTCACTCTCTGAGCTCCAGAGTCAGTAACTCTAGGAGGGTGATGATAGTTATCCTAATTGTTAGGATCGAACGAAATGGGAGCGGGGGAGAAGGCCAGGGAGACATAGACCTTGTGCGTGGTAAATTTTGGTTGCCATCCTGTCTGCTTTATTCTGTCCCCATCTGGGGCTTTCCTTCCTTGTCCATTCACATTGCTTCCCATTGGAAGCAGCACTCTTATCGGAGATCTCAGCCAGATTTCCCTCTGCCCGAGGAGCAGAACATTTTCCCAGGGTTGTGTGTGGAAAAATAGTGTAAGTTATTTAATATCTTTTGGGAACTTGGGACCTAGAACATAAGGATAGAAAAACAGGATTTAGAGTCTTTTCACGGCATGTGAAGAGATCTTGGTAGAAGATGAGAGTAGAAAAGTTCTTAATTCTTGCCTTGGCTGAAGGTGGCTTGAGATTCCATGAAAAATTGTAAGCCTGAGAATTGAGATAATTTTTTTTTTTTTTTTTTTGAGTCAAGGTCTTGCGCTGTTTCCCAGGCTGAAGTGGAGGCTCACTGCAGCCTGGATCTCAGGTGATTCTCTCACCTCAGCCTCCCGAGTAGCTGGGACTACAGGCTTGCACAACCACACCAAGCTAATTTTTGTATTTTTTGTAGAGACAGGCTTTCACCATGTTGCCTGGCCTCAAGCCATCCTCCCACCGTGGCTTCCCAAAGTGCTGGGAATCACAGGCGTGAGCCACCCTGCCTGGCGGGGTTAATCCTTTGTTACAAATCACTTAATGCTTGTATACCTCTTTGTATTTGATTACTTAATTCTTACCCCCTCAGGTAATTTACGGAAGTTAGAAACGTCATTAGAGACCTTTCTTGAAAGCTAAATTTGGAGACAATGTAACAACCTAGAACTAGAGTGGGAAGAGATCTAGGTGAACTCTGTAGGTTTCCAGTGTAGCTTGTCTCAAGATGATATACAGGAGTCCCACTTTGCATTGTCTCGAGTTACTGCTAAACAGCCCCTGCTCTGGACATGCAAGACGCTTGTTTTTTCGTTTTTGTTTTAAATGAATGCATGTTGTTGAGGAGAATTCTGAATGTTAGCACAAAGAGAGGGGAGGACAGAGGAAAAGGAACTCTTCCCTCATCACACGGTGGAGGAAGTAAGGAGAGAAACTTTTAACACTTACTGAGCATCAGCTGTCTGCTTGGCACAGACCCACTGATCCAAGCCATACCTGTGAAAGATACGGCCTTGGAGATTTGACCATGGGCTGTCTCCGTTAGCTCTTCAGTTCATCTGGTACCTAAGAATATAAGTATTGGTGTATGTGAACCTGTATTCTTAGATATTCCAAAAAGCAGAGGGGCCAGTAGGGAAGCGGGTTAATGAGACTTGGATGGGTGACAGTGGAAAGAAAGATGAAGGGGATGTGGAAGTGAATGTCAAAGAGGGACAGTATATCTACTTATTACAGCAATTGCAAAATACTAGCCAGGTCTCAATTCCAGGTTTACCACTCTTAAAAAAGTAACTGGGTATAATTTTCTTGAGTGTTCTCCTGGCAGTTTTTGTTTTTGTTATCGGTGGTGGTGGTAGTGGCTAGTTGTTTTTTAGTTGAAATCTAAATGCAGAAAAAGGTGCCATTAATGGATAATTGCCAAAATGTTGTTTTCATTGTTGCTTTTCTCAGTGCTTTGTGGGCATATATATAGCATTGTTACAGCTATGTAGTTTTAGTGAGAATACTGCATGAGTTGAAGGAAATACGGGAATTTGGTCCTGTGTGCCTTGCTGGCTGTAAAGTTTGTCCACCTTTCTAATGAGTTTTCTGTTGCTGCAGAACAAATTTCCCCAAACTGAGCAGCTTAAAACAACAGCCATTTAATGATCTCACACAGTTTCTGAAGTTCTAAAATCTGGGGACAGCTTGGCTGGGTGCTTCTGGCTCATGGTCTCTCCTGAGGTTGCCGTCATCTGAAGCTCGACTGGGACTGGAGGATCTGTTTCCATAATGACACACTCACATGGCTGTTGGCTGGAGGCCTCAGTTCTGCACCATGTGGGTGTCTCCATAGGGTTTTTCACAACGTGGCTTTTCTCCCCAGAGCAAGTGATCTGGGTGGGTGGTGGGAGAGGGAGAGAATGAATATGATAATGACCAAGATGGAAGCAGCAGTATCTCGGTGGCTGTGTCCCCCCCCCCCCAAATTTCACCTTGAATGGTAATTTCCATGATCCCCACGTGTTGTGGAAGGGACCTGGTGGGAGGTAATGGAATCATGGGGACAGTTTCTCCCATACACTGACTGTCTCCTGATAGTCAGTGAGTTCTCATAAGAGCTGATAGTTTTATAAGCATCTGGCATTTCCCCTGCTGGCACTCATTCTTCTTTCTGCCGCCCGGTGAAGAGGTGCCTTCTCCCATGATTTTAAGTTTCCTGAGGCCTCCCCAGCCTTGTGGAACTGTGAGTCAATTAAACGTCTTTCCTTTATAAATTACCCAGTCTCGTTTGTTTCTTCATGGCAGCATGAGAATGGACGAATACAGTGTCTAATCTTGAAGGTGGCATACCATCCCAGCAGTATACAAACCAGAGCTGGTACAATGTTGGAAAGGACGACAAGAGGGGAGGTCAGGGTACATGAGTATTCTTGGAGGCTAGCTACCACTACTTTTTTACGGTTTAGACCAGACATCATTGAGAAAATCTTTCTTTCAGTTGCTTTCTGACGTATATTGTACTGTAGGAGATGAAAACACAGCTGGGGTCTTTACTGTTCTCAAAACTTTAATATTATATGTGAAACTTTTATATTCTTTCTTCTGGTCCTTTGTCAGATGCTGGAATTAGCCAAGTATGCAGCAGCTTTGGAAATCAGAAACTCAAATCTTCCTGGTTGCTAAACCAAAAGGAACATCTGAATTTTTTTTTTTTCTTTTCTTTCTTCCCCCTCCTCCCCACAAGACGGTGTCTTACTCTGTCACCAGGCTGGAGTGCAGTGGTGCGATCTCGGCTCACTGCAACCTCTGCCTTCTGAATTTAAGTGATTCTCCTGCCTCAGACTTTCAAGTAGCTGGGATTACAGGCATGCGCCACCATGCCCAGCTAATTTTGTATTTTTAGTGGAGATGGGGTTTCTTCATGTTGGTCAGACTGGTTTTGGATTCCTGACCTGAGGTGATCCGCCCGCCTTGGCCTCCCAAAGTGCTGGGATTACAGGTGTGAGCCATCGCGCCTGGCCTGAATTTTTTTCTTTAACCCTAAAACAAGTTGGTAAAAAATTATTGCCAAAGTGATCTCCTTTGATGAATGGCTTAAAATCAGTCATTAATTATCTGTGCACTCTTAAAAATAAAACTCATTGGCAAAGTAGCTGAAAAATTTTGGAGAACCTAAACCCTGTTACTCCTCCCCATTATTTTAAAACTTTGGAGACTGCTTATTTGCCTAGCAATTTTTCAGTTCTCTTTTGAAAACCTCACACATTTTAATTATCCACCTGGATAGAAGGGCTCTATTTTTGTAGCCTCCAGATGAAATCTTCCTGAAGTGCCTACAGGTGGGGAGAATTTTCTGAATCCTGAGCCTGAGCCTGGCTAAGTGACCTCTACGTTCCTTTAATCTCTAAAAAGTCTATGGTCCTAGTGTTTTTTTAAAATAATGAATATCCTTTGAGTTGTGCATATTTGCAACAAAAGATTTCATTAATCATGTTAAATTGCAACCTCAGAAGACAAGCTCTTCTGAGAATAGCTTTTGTTCTTCCCAGTCCAGATGAAGGTTGTTGGATTCCCTGTTAGGCAGAG